TAAAGATCCACCCCCAGGTCATAGTCAACAGACTTCGACCGCCGAAGCCAGGCAAGCGTCCGTGCCATCTACTCCGTTGGACATGTCTATGTATGTCTGTCTGTACGTGCGGAGTCGGCAATGTCATCCAAGGCCCCCGATGGGGGCTCTCGGAATCTTGTTTCCGTATCGTGTCGTGCGTTTCTAGTAACCGGCGATTATCGTGGCTATAGCGGCCATGATGGTCTGGATTAGGAAAATGGCTAATAAAGGGGAAGAGGGGAAAAAAAGAAGAAGAAGAAGAAGAATGTTCCGTGAGGACAATCGGCAGAGCTAGTGAAGGAGAAGGAAAAGACAAAAAACAACCAGCAGGTGCGCCGGGAAGGAAGGAAGGAAGCAGCAAGTCTGGAGGTGGGACCACGTGCCTCCCCGAGACGGCGATCACCCAAACACCAGCCCTCTTCAACCATTCTTCATCGTCCTCTCCAGCACCTTGAATACGCCGTCCAGCTCTGCCTACGCACAGGTTCTTGTCGCCCTTCTTTTCTAGCCTTGTGCTTCGGCAAACAGACTTTGACGCCTGGGCGCTTACCGAAACGCGACAGCTGCCAAAACAGCCGACCTGGAACCCTCTTGAGTGCTTCCGTGCACAACCTGCATCCCATGTTGACTCGGATATTCTGCTCCAATTGACCCCTCTTTTAACGTGGTATTTGGGCTAATTTTGGATCCTTGTCGCCGTCGCCGTCATTTGTCTCGCGGCCGGCGCTTACGCCATGTTCGCAATGTTGGCGGCCCTACGTTATCTCGACGACGGCGCTAACAATTCTGAGTCTATTTTTAATTTAGCCCAGATTAACCACATGTCCTATTGTATGTACATACACAACTTGGTATTTGGGTCGCTGGGAAAACTATAACCTGAAATGGGGCCGGTCACCGGTGATGGTGCATTACGAAAGCTGGGGAAGGCAACTAAAGGTGAAGGTAAGCGAGATAAATGGTCAATGCTCCCAATATACCGCCTACGTAAAGGCATTATTAGCACTTGCATCAAGTTCAACTTTGTTCGCAATCCGGCAGCTTTGTCTTTTTCATCATGTCTTGACGGTTAGACATGTTGCGCAATGTTTGCTTGTGGAAAGCTGGGACCATTCCACGAATTATCAAATCCTTCTTCGCCAATCAATGTCGGTCAGTCGCATTCTTCCAGACACACAGTACATTGACGATGCGTAGATTGGCCCAACTTAGAGCGGACAGAGCGAAACAATATACGGAGTAGACGGGAGGCGGCGTTCGCATGGTGGAGTTGGCAATAGGCGGATGCCGTGCTCGTCAAGCGCCACTGCTCACATAATTAATATTGCAAGTACACCCTAGGCCTAGCAGGACACAATGCTCGTGACTATTTCTTTCCAACTCTTTTGCCTCGTCTTGTTCTGAGATTACATGTTCCCCGGTCCAAGAATCTCACGGTTCGTGATGTCATGCAGTCGGCCGTGGACCCATTTGCCGTCGGCGTCGAGACACACCGCCACAACAACTGTCGTACATGTTGAGGTTCATGCAAAGCCAGCCTTAGGAACGGTTAAGCAAAACCCATCGTGCAGCGCCCACAGCTCCACCCATGACGAAGTAAAGCTTTGCCATGGTGGAGCGTCGGGAAATCGAGCCGGTTGTGCAAGCTATGTAGCCATGAACCAACAACCTTTATAAGTGCAGAGTACCCGGTAGTAGTTGAGCAATGCAAGATGAAAAAAAAAACACTCCATGTCAAATACAACCAGACCATCAAGGCCCCGGTACAGTGTCACCACAAACGCATCATGCAAACACTCAACCGCTCCAGATTTCTACCCTAAATCAAGGGGCTCAGGAGAGTTCTGTGTCCGCCCCCTCCCCTTCCTCCTTTTTTAAAGCATCGGACACATTTGATCCCAGCCACCAAAAAATATCATGACTTTTTTTCGTCTTCAAGCCATGAGATGGTAGGGTGCAGGCCCCGGCGTTGCAACAGCCATGGGTCCCTCTGTTGGCGCAAAATGCAGATCAGCCGTCGGTCAAGCATTAATCCATTGTGAGTAACCTGGCTTTTTGCTCAGCCGGATTGGACCTGGCTTAGGTGTACATAAGCTGCCGCAACCACGATGTGGGAAAGGGAAGGCGATGGTAACGATGCGCCATGTTTGTGATACTGCACTACTAGTTCAGTCTCAGCCGCTGCTAAAGCCGGCTCTTGTCTTAGAGTTCCAAGCCTGTGTTGCCCTGTAGAAACGGTGCCGATTTCATTTCTGTGTTTCTATTCCATTCGTGTCTTAGGCCAGTGGTATTATAACATCGCACAGTCTTTGACGGCGTATTGATTCGAGATAGCGTCGGCCGAAACTCTGCCCCAACGCCATGAGCTCTGCATGTCATCAACAGAGGGGCAGGGCTCGGACGCGGATAGCGGCATTAGCCTGAAGCAACTGAGCTACCCTTCAATTTTCGACTTTGACGAACCAAGACTAATAATACTAGTTCGCGAACCGCAATGAGGAGCCCAGAGAACTGTGTTGTCATTGACACGTCCCAGTTACGCAGTAGGACGTGATAACTTCGACCCCGCATTCATTTGCCATCCATCCATATCCATACAAAGTCTGTCCAATTGAACTTTGCTTTGAAGAGTCGTTAGAATCGACAGGGGATTGTTGTTTTCGAGAACCATGATATACTTGTCCCTGTTACAGTTTCCAGGTTCCACAGGAGCTTCAATGTTCCGCACTCATCACAAGTCAGTTACGGAGTATACCATACGGAATGGCCGGTGTTTTCATAACGGCCGAAGCCAGAAGCCGCGACCTGCGCTGGGATTTCCGCTTTAGTTCCACTAATTGGTCTGATCACCCGGCTCATCAGCAGTAGTCCGGGGATGAGACATCTTCTGTGCAGCGTCTTCTGCCACTATCTTACTCCAACCAGCCAGGATCAGTAGTGTTGCGCCATCGCACACTGTGCATCAAAGCAGGGTCCAGGCAACTCACATTGATCGTCTGCACACCCCTTCCCCCCGTTAGCCCGCTCTTGGCAACTTGTGCAATATGCTAGGGTATATTGCTTCCCCAAATCTCATGGTCTTCAAACCCCTTTGCTGAAAATCGTATTTCCACGAATACCAGCGGGGGGATGTCCGTCCACGGAAGTAAAAGAAAGAAGACCTGCCAGTGGGTTTTACATGGCATCCCTGTCATTACGGCTTCGTCGAAATTTTCGCAAATCGATTCAGGCTCTCAACGGAGTGTGCGGCCCGGCACCTTACGAGCATATCGGCAACCCGAACGTGCTGCTAGAGCCATGGCAAAATATGTGGCTGAGAAGCTGGCTTTCTCACCCGTGTCCAACTTGCCATCGTAGCTTGGCAGGTGTCGCTTGCGAGCCCGGTTTCCTTCTTATTCGCCTGTCAACTTTTGTTCATGGTACTGCTGACATTGACCGCCTTCTTGCCAGCATACTGACCAGAGACAGACACGATGCACAGCAGCAATTCCTTGATCTTCGTGCACCTGACCATTTGTTGTCACAAAAGGTCTCGTGGCAGGATGCCATCGGCCGAGACTTGCGTCTTAGCTGGTCGAGAATCCAAAGAGGCGGTGGCATCCCGAAAACTCCACATGAGCCAGCATTGCTCTTCCTGCTCGTTACAATCTCCGCGTCTCAGATTCCGCAGCGATTAAACTATCACGCCATTGAGTAAACTGTTAACAAGGGCATGGCCTCCAAGTTCTTTTGTCGACGGACCAGGTTTTTTGCAGTTGGAAACATACCGACTGGGGGATCTCGTCTCCTGTTAAACAATTGGCCAAGTAATGAGGGGTACCGGTAGTATCCACGATGCTTCCCGTTCGACCAACACATGGTCGTCCCGAGAAAAAAAAAAGCAAGTAGAGCCCCCAAATTCGGGGGCTGGTGTCTTCTACCGTGTTGTCCGTACTGGTCGAGAGCGGAAACAAGTGCGAAGCTGCAGAACATTATTGCTGCGGGAACAGCCGATGGTTGATAGGAGGGCGACGAAAATGTACTCCGTAGCCTTTCAACAACCCCAAGCCATAGCAATACCATTAACCAACGAAGAGTTTCTGGGAATGCTGACCATGGCTGGCCGACAGAAGTAGCACTTTGAGGGTTCTTTTTTTTTTTGCTCTGGTCAAGTCAGCAACTGTTACTGATGACCGAGACCCCAGACGTGAATATAGAACACATCACATCACACCGTGGCTATTCTTCCATACGAGTACTCAGAATGGCAAGTGCTCTTTTGTCGGTGAGCCAATGCCGTGAGTCACGGGTAGTGGATATGGTAAATAGTGCATCGGTTTTAATGCCAAAACCCTCCCCACTTGAGTTGGTGACACTTTGATAGACAACCAAGGCGATGGAAAGATTGATGATATTGTAGTCGCGGTCGCGGTCGCAGTATTCAAGACGAAAAATAAGATTGCAGAAGGGAAAAAACACGGTAGTTGCCACCCAGCGTCTCAGAGCTTTATGTATACGGAATATAGGGCTGATTCACCACGGTGTATCTCCTGTCATGGGAACACGGGGATGCTATGTTTACTAACAACTCGTGAGCCTGCTGCAGCCGGGGAATCGGGAAACGAGACGACGAACGCGACCAGCGGGCCAGAATTTTGCAAGTCGTCAGTGGTCGTATGGCGCAGAAAACAAAACCACCATAGTCGAGACTGGTGGGACAAAAACTATCAGGCGATGAAGGTCTAACAAAGAGCAGCGGACTGCAGGACATGTGCTTGCGAACCCCTGCAACCCTGCACTTGCATTGATGCCGGCAAGGATAGCAAGACCGGTGGTACAGTGTTGAGTGGCAATCAGAGACAACATGTGCGCGAGAGAGTCGACATGAAGGTGAAGGCCGGGCCATGAAGGTACAACAGACCAGTGGGACCCACGTGCAGAAACGAACTTGAACGAGATAAGATGGAAGGCGACACCCAAGGCAGCTGGTCGCTGTGGGAATGGCGCGACCAGACAGCATTGAAAGACAGTGCTGGTGGAAGGAGCACCAGTTGACCTCTGCAGCCCTCCAGAGTCCAGACACCCCACGCCGAAGCCAGCACAGTGCTCCCATTTGCCCTCTTACAGCGAGTGCCAAGGGCATCCTGCGCAGGCCAGACATGATGGCGCTTAGACATGAGAGACACCAGACCGGCTATATTTGGCATAGGCTCGGCAGCCGGACATTATGCGATTCGCCATTCGCGCACGCCAACAGTTGGAGCCTGGCATCCCAACCAGACCAACTCGTCCTAGCTCATGGCAGGGCTGTTTCGACCATCAACGACGGACCATCAACAACCCTCGACGACAACTCGACAAGTTACAACGCTCTCAACAACCATGTCTGTCTCTCCTCGTGCCCCCTGTCACTTCTGGACGAGGGCCACCACCCCTCCGCCACCAGCCTATCACAAAGTCCCTCCGACACAATGCATCAACGCCTCTGGCAGCGTGCATGTAAACCGTCCAATTGTTCTCGTCGTCTTCGCGCCCAGGTCGCCGTGTCTGATAGTATGGCCAAGCGACAGATCTTATCTAGCCAGGGTTTGAAGAGAGCTAGCCCTCGCCAGCGACCTTGCAAGACGCATTGTGCCGAGTCCATGGCCACTGTCTCTGCGGTCTGCGCTGTGATGGGCTTGTGACGGAAGCCGCGTTATGCATCGTCGGCCTCTTGTTGAGAAGTCCCTGGCCGTCTTGACTTGCAGACCAAGGACCACGGTGGCTGTCCTATCCTCCCCCCGCCCGCAACCGTTTCGACAGGCGTCGTGGTGGTGGCCCGGCAAGGTGCTGTTGCTGCTCGTCACATTTGATGGCTCACAAGTTCACAACCCAAGGCCTAGCTTAACACCGTTGGGCGTTGCAACCACCCCCTACTACATAATAACGATCACTAACCACCCGCCACCGAGGTCCTCTTTCTCTCGAGTTTCGCCATTTTTGTCTTGTCCAGCTGTCGCTGCGAGCTTGCCGTTGTTTTCCTTTTGTGATGATTTACATTCCCATGTCTCACGGCACTCTGGACATCTTGTGAGACCCTTGTGGGCATCAAGGTAGAAAACGCTCACAGCCGGCAACGGCCCAGCCTCTCCATCCATTCCGTATAACGTCCAGGCTGGTCCAATCTCCGTGAACACCGCTATAGACTTCTATCAGCGCAATTTCTACAACACAGAAGGAATTAGAACAAGGCCAACATCGTTCGTCTGTTTCCACGCACGCGGCTTCAGACCGGCGTATCCAAAATGGTTTGTTTCTTGTCTTCCTCACTTGACCCGAAATCTTCTGCTTACACAACCGCCATTAACACAATTTTTCCACAGGAGTACGAATACGCCTACTATCGTCCTGGCGACAGCCAGGCGTACCAAGAAATGCGCCAAAAATTTACCAGGGATGCATTCTTCCGCTTAGGAAATGAGTTGCAGATGCAACGGCCTGCATCTGTAGCTACCGAGTTCGTTGACACAGACTGGGACGAGGAAATCATGAGTGAAGCCGAAGACAACTCCCCGCGCGTCAGTCTGCAATCGGTAAGCGCATACATCAGTTTGCACATTCTTCCTGACAGAAACCTCCTTTCTGATGCGCCTCTTCATGATAGTCTGGCCAGCCGAGTTTTACAACTGTGTCATCATATGATGAAGCACCGACTCCACGGTCGAGCAGGGGACGGGAGGCATACCCTGAGCACATATTCAAGCCAGTGGAAGGACCAAGCGGCCCTCATCTATTTCGAAGCTCAACAGACTCGCCCCTGGTAGACGATGACTTCATTTTAACGCTCTCGCCTATCACTCCGAAGGCTCAGAGAGGCATCGGCGATCTTCTGGATAGACCTCCGATGCCGCGAAGGAGCAGTCCTTTCCAATACACATCTGTAGAGCTTGATTCTCTTCCCCTTGCGTCGTGGACACCGGAGATGGTCGCACAGTCGATGCTCAATGCTGGCATTGAGCTGTCCGTGGCCGATCGGTTCATTGAGAATGACATCAATGGCGCCATCTTGATAACGTTGAAATTCGAGGACTTGCGAGAACTTGATATTCAATCTTTCGGGATTCGCACCAAAGTATGGCATCAGATCCAGACACTTAGAGATAGTAGACCCTCTTCTCCCCGACCAGCCACACCAATCGAGGACGTGCCCAGCAGAGAAGCTTGCAGAGAGACTAGAAACAAGGCCCAGACTGGAGTGAACAGAAGCCAGAGCAACAAACGTCGGGCCCGTCGCAAGCTCTCCGCCGAGGAGGACATCGTCCATCCAATGGAATCAGTCTCTATCATCGGTATCGAACAAGTCATCCCAAAACCTCATAATTGTTCAAAAGGAGAAAAATGTCATAAATGGAGGAAAAACCAAAAACTTCTCAACGACTTGAAGAAAGCCAACCCAACTGTTGATGTCTACGCTGGAAGGAGTGTGATGATCTTCGGAGATGCAGGCAATCCTGAAACGGCCAGGGCCATTGACCCTCAAGAAACTTTTCGGCCCGTATCAGACGCAGTTCCTTCTGTTGTTGCTTCCTCTGATGTCATGGGTCCTGGTGGCTTGCCTCCTTTGCAATATCTTCAGGAAGCCACATTGCGAGGCATTCAGGCTCGAGACCCCCAGGATAATGTCCGCCAGTTCTTGAAGTTTCAACAAAAGAATAGCTCGGACCAGGTGCCACCGACACCACCGTTTGAGATTCTTCCGTCGGCCAAGATGCCTCACCAAGGCTTGCGTCAACTACCGAAGCTCTCCATCCCTGGAAAACCACTTCAAGCTACTCCTTTGAGGACATCTACAGTCCCTCAGCCCACCGAGCCTCAGCGACAAGAGCAAGCTGCAGGCCAGCCGGTGCAGCAAGTGCAACGACAAGCGACACAGCCACCAGAATTCGTCCCGTATCGCATGAATAAAGCTGATCCCTTGTCCCCGGATTTGGAAACTCCCCGAAACCCTTACAGGTTTGGGACCCCATTCTCCGAGTTGGATGTCCCCATCACGGCAGTACCCGCTGGACCAGTAGCTCGCGACACATCACAGTCCGTACCTCCGGATATGAACTATCGAGTGCCTCCCGCTGCTCGATCCCAATCAAGGGCATCCAACCGGCGTCCCTCCTTCCCAATTCTACCCTCCGTGGATGAGAATGGCGTGGTACTCCAGAGATCTAAAACACCATCCCCAAAGAGCACCTCGCCTATCTACCGCGTGCAGCAGCAGCTACAGAAACAGCCACTTCGAGCTCCTCCTCGCTTCAATTACCCCTGGTCTCCAGCTGAGCGTGGCAGCTTTGAGAACGCCATCCCTCCTGCGTCGACCTTCCACCCTGGCGGTGGCCATGACGCGTTAGCAATTGCTAGTGGCATTACACATCAGGGGCCGATGAAGAAGCGGAAGACACGACTGCTCCGCAATGAGTGGCATGATGGATACTTTACCCTGAAGGGAAGCAGACTCAACATGCACAAGGATGCTCAAGAGTTGGACCGAACTCTTGAATACATCGACATTGACGACTATGCGATTGCCTGCTCTAGTCTTGCATCTACGTCCAAGCTCAATGCCGCCTTCAAAGCAGTTCGTATTTCTCACAACCGTGAGAAGAGTGACCCAGTAGGGGCTTTCAGCTTTCAGCTTATTCCCCAAGATAAGAGTGCTGGAACTCGTCTGCGCAAGCGAGACAGTTCCATGAGCGGCGTAAACGGCAATTCCACCCCGTCCGAGGGCGTAAATGGAACAGGAAAAACGCACCATTTCGCTGTCAAGAGCCGTGATGATCGCATCGATTGGATGCGTGAGCTGATGCTAGCAAAAGCTATGAAGCAAAAAGGTGAGGGTTTCGAGATTAGCGTCAACGGAAACATGATCTAGGTTCACCAAGTTCATTTTATCTGCTGATCTCAATTGATCATTCCTGCACCAGTTTAATCTTTGATCAAATCATGCGGCGCAAAGGCTGCATAGTTATGAATGACGTTACGAATCAAATACCCCCAACCACTCCTTTACACTACCGCACACACTTTCCACTTTTTGTAACTTCCATTGTCGAAGTTGACTATTTTTGAAAGCATGAGAACGGCCTGAACTGTTCTCTAGAGATCTTTTGTTATCAGGTTTGTCGATGTATGCGTCACGCCGTTTCACATCTTTATATTTCTTTTTGCGTACACATAACTCTCCTTTTTTCACGAATTGGATGAGCAGGATACCATTTGGATTTTAGTTCACGTCAGTCCTTTTGACTGTGGTTTTTAGCGGAAATAGTTGGTATTTTTGACGAAAAAGCTTTTATATAAAACTTGCGTCCAAGCGTATTTCCCAGTGTGTCAGTAACTGTGAAATCTTGGCACCATACAATCGTAGCGGTGGTCAAGGAAGGGGCATATGGGTTGTTGCTATCGGATATTGTTGTTCACGCATTGAGTTGCATGAGTTTTAAACTAGAATCAATGCTTGTCCTGCCATGCACTACTTCCGACCTGTGACTTGGTCCTCTTGACCAAGGCCGGTGTATTCTGGAATAAAAAGCGTTCAGAAAAAGCCAAGGACGGGCGTGAACAAAGCTGCCTTGCACACAGCTTCAGGGTAGTTACGTCCAAATCAAAAATTTACAGGTATTCATTTCTGTCCAATATTTCTCCCAATCGCCGTGCATTGAGTTCCGCCAGGTTATATGCAGACAAGTACACTTAATCTTACAGTATTTTGCCCCCCTATGCAGCTGCCAGTATGGCGTACGACCCCTTTCTTTGGTGTTTATGCTCCAAGCCTCATTCTTTTTTCTCTTTTCCTTGTTCTTTCTCTTCTTTTGTCCTCCCTCTCTTCATCTCCACTGAAGCTTCATCTCTGTACTTTTTCTCACTTGTTCACTACGCGGCGCCCTTGAATGCCGGCCGAGTAGACCGGGCCTTGTGGGCAACCTTTTCCCAGTCAATCAGGTTCCACCAGGCCTCGGCATAGGCGGTCTTGCCGCCGTTGCCGCCGGCGCCGACGCCCCAGTCCAGCAGCCACGCGTGCTCCCAGGTGTTTAGGCACAGCAGGGGCTCGAGCTCGATGCCGCCGGGGGGCAGGTCGCCGGACCGCTTCCTGCTGCCGTAGACCTGGTTCTTGAAGTAGGAGCGGGCGGAGCCGTCGCCGCCCACGGTGTTCATGTCGGTGGGCTGGGCGCGCCAGTGGGCGCCGGGGTAGGGCGAGCCGGCGAGGTAGGTCGGCAGCAGGCGGTAGTCGTTGATGCCGGCCTTGACGAGCCAGACGAAGCCGGGGCCGAACATGGCCGAGGCGGTGATGACGAACTCGCGGCGCAGCGTCTCGATGGAGGAGAAGCACGCCTCGAGCTCGGCGCGGAGCGAGTCGGGCATGGGCGTGCCCGTGGGCGATATGCCCTGGAAGAAGAAGTGGTTGTTGTGCGCCATGGAGGCGTAGTTGAAGATGGGGGCTTGGCTGGGCTCGCGGGCCGTGAGGAGGCTGATGGTCTTGGTGTCCTTGTCTTCGAGTTCGGTGCCTGGCAAGAGGGCGACGTTAGTGAGCGTGGATGTGGCGGTCAAGTTTGGGCCGGTCATTTGGCGGGAGCGGGAGCAAGCACATACCGGCCGTCAAGGCATTGAGCTTCTCTACCATCAGAGTCATGTAGTCTGACCATGCGATCGCGAA